GGCTCACTGCAACCTCCACCTCCTGGGTTCAAGCAATTCTCCTGCCTCAGCCTCCCAAGTAGCTGGAACTGCAGGCGCGCGCCACCACGCCCAGCTAGTTTTTTGTATATTTTAGTAGAGACGGGGTTTCACCATGTTGGCCTAGATGGTCTCAATCTCTTGACCTCATGATCTGCCCGCCTCGGCTTCCCAAAGTGCTGGGATTACAGGCATGAGACACCGCGTCCAGCCGGCTCATACCCACTTCTAGAATGCTGTTCTGTTTCAGTTTTCTGTTCATTAAAGTGACAACAAAAGAAAGACAACAAGGGAGATAAAATAACATGAAGAAGAAAGGGCTTCATGGATTACAAAAGCTGAAGAGCAAAGAATGAAGGAGAGAGTGGCGGAGATGACTGGGAGAGGTGCACATGCAAGCCTTGTAGGTTCATCAGGATTTGTTTCCCAAGTATAATGGGTTTTTCAATATTTTCCACAGATACAAATGTCAGAGTTTTATTTCAAAATTGCTAGTTTTTTTACTGTGCTAGGTGTTAAAATGAATAGATTTGGATTGAAATAAATGTCTCATAATTATCCCTACTCCTATGGAAATGATAATGTCATCTTCAAAATGAAGGAAGATTGACTTCAAGCTGCTTCAACAAAAAGTGGGTCTAATGAGAAAAGGTGTGATTAGAACCAATCTGGTCAAGAACACTATCCACCCACGCAATCTGGCAGAGTCATAAATTCATTCCATCTGGACTGGCTGCAAGACCAGATCAATACACCTGCTAAATCATCCCGTAGTCAAACATATGTTGACAGCTCAATCTTATTTTCATCAGCCTGATCTTAGGTACATGTAAAAGTAAATACATGTAAAAGTTTGGATTCGGTGGCCATTCAGACCCTGTGATTACAACAGACTATGAGCCCCTCAAGGGCAGGGGTTATTCAGTTTTGAAGCCCCTGTGCCTATCATGTGTTGGTAGAAGGCAAATTAGGCAGTTAGTAGATTTAATAATTGAATGGAAATATAAATGAACAACAACTAAGTATAATTAACTAATTTGAATTAATTTGTATCTATGTGACTTAACTTCATGTGAAATGGATCTCCAGTGAGCATCCAGTGTAAGGACAACAAAAAGATGTCCCATAAAATTTTCTTTTTTAACATATTCTCAGGTTATAAGAAGCAAATTGAAGTATTTTTTTAAATGGCTAAGTGTATTCCCATTTGGAATTTCAAACCTGATGGTTCCCAGTTTGATCCTCCCAAGCTTGAACAAACTTTCCCAAGTCATTCACAGACAAGTTTTTAGCTACAGAAATGAAAATCCTATGTCTTTATTTAGTGGTGTCTGGGTGCTTTCCCAAGATGGTGGCATTGAGGATATCTTCAGGCTTATCTAAAGTAGAAACTTTTCAGAAAGTAATGCAGCAATATTCTATCTGTTAAAATTAACAATACATTTACCCCTTGATCCAGCACTCCCCCTTGGGATATATACACATACAGCTGTTTATTGCAGCATAGTTTGTTGTGGCAAAAAATTGAAACTGATATCCAACAAATACTGTAGTATTGTATAAATAGTGCAACATCCAATATTAAGCAGTGACTTAAAAGGATGAATTAGACCAAATGAACTAACCTGGAGAAATATCTATGATATATGGCATTGCCAAAATACACAGTCCTTCCTATCCGTACAAATGCAAATTGTGTGCAATGGCCTACAACCAAGTAACACCACAGTGTGTGTAAAACCACTTTCTTCTCCAGTTTCTCAAGTACCCTTTAGATCTCAAGCTGTTTCAACAGATTCAGCAGAGATATGAGCAGAAAATAGACCAGAGATTTAAGTTTCTTATTTTCTAAAGAGTAGCCAGATTTAAGATTTTTTTAAAAAATAAATAACCAAAAAAATAAATAAATAAAAAGAGTAGCCAGATTTCACTTATAATAAGTGATATTGGTTGTACCCATAGAAGACAAATATATGACAAGAATTTCAGTAAGAAAAAAGCCGTAAGACAGAATGATGCAGATTTCATGTATATAAGCTCCAGCATTGGTGAGACTTCGCAATAGGGACCATTAATTTCATTATAGCCACAAAAGCAAAGATTAAGTTTGTGTCCCCAAAATGCAACACAGAAAGACAAATTATGAGGAAAAAAATGCAAGACTTAAAGATTAGATCTTAGAAGACTAGATCTTAGAAGACTCAACAACTACATGCAATTTTTACCAAGAAATTCTAACTCATTGGAACATGAGGTGTTTTTGTTTGTTCCAATAACTATTACCAATTAGATCATGAAAAAAAACCTTTTCCAATTACGTAGTATCTCTCTTGATGACATCTTGGGCAGACTTATGTATGTTTTCAGCTAGTTAGTTGTTAGACTAGTTTCATTTTACTATTAAGAATTTAATCTCTTTAAAAATCCAACCTTATACCTTATTCAAATTCTTCTTGTTCCCCACCTCAAATATATACTAAAGTGACAGCAGATACAAGTTGGGGCAGTGGAAGCAGATTGTGCCCCCCAGATACTTATCTTGCCATCTTTTAGCAAAGATGTGGAACAATAGGAACTCTCATACATTTCTTTTTAAATTTTAATTTTAGATTCAGGGGAAATGTGTGCAACTTTGTTATAAGAGTATTTTGTGTGATGCTGAAGTTTCGGCTTCTATTGATCCTGTCACCCAGATAGTGAGCATAGTACCCAATAGAAAGTTTTTCAGCCCTTGCCCCCATCTCTCCTTTCCTCTTTTTGGAATCCCAGTGTCTATTGTACCCATCTTTGTGTCTGCGTGCACCCAGGGTTTAGCTCCCACTTATAAGTGAGAACATGCAATATTTGGTTTTGTTTCTGGGTTAATTTGCTCAGGATAATGGCCTCTAGCTGCATTCATGCTACTGCCAAAGACATGATTTTATTCTTTTCACGGCTGTGTAGTATTTCATGGTGTATATGTGCCACATTTTCTTTTTCAATGCACAATTGATGGGTACCTAGTTTGTTTCAATGTCTTTGCTATTGGAATAATGCTTTGATAAACACATGAGTGCAGGTGTCTTTTCAGTAGAACAATTTATTTTCCTTTGGGTACATACCCAGAAATGAGATTGTTGGGTGGAATGGCAGTTCATTTTTATTTCTTTGAGAAATCTATAAACTGCTTTCCACTGGGGCTGAACCAATTTACATTCCCACCAACGTATATAAGCGATCCCTTTTCACCACAGCCTCGCCAGCATCTGTTGTGTTTTAACTTTTTAGTAATAGCCATTCTGACTGGTATGAGATGATATCTCATTGTGGTTTTGATTTGCATGTCTCTGATGATTAGTGATATTGAGCATTTTTTTGCATGTTGGTCAGCCACTTGTCTCATACATTTCTGATGGCAGTGCAAATTATTACATTCACTTTGGACATATATTTGGCAGTGTCATCTAAAGATGAATGTCACATGCCCTACGATTCAGCAGTTTCATTCCTGCATATATCCAACAGAAATTCATATATACATATACCAACAGACACACACAAGAAAGTTCATAGCATTATAATTAAGAGCCAAAAACTGGAAATAATTCAAATGTTCACCAATAGTAAAATGGACAAATTGTGGGTTGGTGAAATGACAGAACACTATACTACAAAGAAAATTAATGAATCATTGCAATAATAGGAGTAAATCTCAAAAACATAACGGAGAGTAGAGAAAGCAAACTCGAAAGAATATGCATTATATATTCCCACTTATATAAAGCTTAAAAACAGACAAAAGTCATTTATGAGATTAGAATCCAGATAGTGGTGACCTTTGGGAGGAGAAAAAGTAGTGACTGGTAGAGGGCATGAGAAGGGTTCCGGAATTCCAATGTGTTCTGTTTCTTGATCTCAGTGATGGTGACACCAGCAATACATACTTTATGAAAGTCATCGCACTGCTCACTCATGATTTCTACACTTTACCAATGAATATCACACTTGAAAAAAATTTATGTGGGTGGAATTCCTTACAAAGAAAATTATAATTAATTTCTTCTAAATGTAGAAGGAATGAGGAAAATAGAAAAATCACCATTCTAGCTAAATAATAATTGCTGTAAATAAGACCCACCAATGCCGAAGTTAATGGGAGAAATTTTAAGGAAAATCAGGGCATTTGCATAGTCTCAGAGAATCTCCCCCAAAATATGTGTTAATTACAAAAGGAAAATAGTAACTTCACAGTGGAGAAGCCTGGCAGACCCCACTTTAACAAAGCGACCAAAGTTAACGTTTCCAATAAGAGCACATATCAACATCATGTACCTCCTAATATGATGCACTGAGAAGGACATGTCACCTCTGTAGCATTTTTCTCAAAAATGCATAACTTCAAAACATCAGACAAATCAAAATTGAGGAGCATTTTGCAGTTTACCTGACCAGTACTTTTCAAAGGAGTCAAGGTCAGGTAGGAAGACAAGGAAAGATAAAGGGAATGTCTGTCACAGATTGGAGACTAAGAAGACATGACAGTTAAATGCACAGTGGGAGCCTGGATTAGAGGCTGGAACATAAAAGGAACATTCATGTAAAACTGGTGAAATCCAAATAATGTCTGTAGTTAAGCTAATAGCAGTAAACCAGTGCCAATTGCTTAGTTTTAATAACTGTACTATGTTTATGTATGATGTTAACATAAGTAGAATCTGGGTGAAGCATATACAGGAACAGGAACTTCTTTATAGTTTTTTGTTTTTGTTTTTTACAGATGGGATCTCACTATGTTGTCCAGGTTGGACTCAAATACTTGGGCTCAAGAGATCCTCTCGTCTCAGTCTCCTGGTAGCTAGGACTATGGGCATGTGATATTGTACCAGGATCTGTCTGTGGTATTTTTGAAACTTTTCTGTGAGTCTACAATAATTTTAAATTAAAAATAATTATAATACAAATATACTTAACACTACTGAACTGTACACTTAAGTGATTAAGATTGTAAATTTTGTGTTTATACCATAATTTAAATTGTTTACATTATAAAAATATATGTACTTTATTATGTATTATATATTAATATATACATAACTGTCACCCCAAGGCACAAGTAAAGATACATTACAGTCTGAGGAAGCGTAAAAGAAAAACTATCTTCTCTCCCCTGGAATAGGGGCAGGAAAGAGTTCTGGGCCCAGGATCACATACCAATACCATTAGATGTCTCCTATTATTAGAGCAGGGTCAACGTGACCCCTACTCTTGAGACTCAGGGTCATAGCACCTGCCTAAGACTAATAATGCATAAAAATGACCAAAAAAGCCCCTTTTCCCACCCCTAATCAGTCTAGGAAACACCAAGTAATAAGCAAAAGAAATCCATTGCTAGGAGAGAAGTAAAATCACTGAAAAGGCCTTACTCCTGAGACTAAAGTCACAGCACTCACCTAAGATTAAGAATTGTTAAAGACAAAAAAGAAAACTCCTTTTTCTTCTCACACTTTAATGAGCCTATGAATCGCCAGAGGATCTTTTGAAAATGAAGAATAAAATTCAGTAGGTCTGGAGTGGGCCTTGAGAGTCTGCATTTTTAGCAAGCCCCCAGATGACGCCCGTGTGGCTGGTCCACAAACCACATACTGAGTAGCAAACTTCTAAAGAACTTTACCATTGACCAAGAGAATCCCTGCTGGTTTGAGTGACCCCTAGCCCTTCCTCCAAAAAAACTTTTTGCAAAGAAAGGTACAGAAAGAACGTAACTTGTTCAAATGTGAGAAATAATCAAAAGAGAATCAGCATGATATTGAAGCAGAGACTATAAGAAAAAAAAGTTTCAGGGAGGAAATAGCATATTAAGAATAGTGACTATAAAAATGTTGCTATGAAGCCAATGAAAATTGTGGCCAAAAAAGAAAAGCCAATAATTTTAAATGCTTTTGAAAAAATTGCTCCTCTAAGACAAGTGTACAAAGCATAAATATAAGCATTGAGGAAATATATAGTTTAAAAAATGAAAGTTATAAAACACTAGCTACCAGAGTTCAGAAAAAATATAGAATAATAAATGAAATCATTACTACAATGGTGTCCCTATCAGAATCATTAAAGAGGAGAACATAGTTCTTTTTTTAGAAGTAATTATGAAGTTATTATTTACACAATTGTTAAAGTACACAAATACAGGGGTGATACAAATGCAAAGCTCATAGGCTGGTCACAATGCACAGGTTGACACAGATGTCTTACCTACATTTCCTGCACACTCCTCTCTTTCATGGTTTTAATAGGACACCATTTTAGTAATGACTCCTGTTTGCCAAAACATAGCGGCAAATAGAAAATAAAATCAAGAAAAATAAAACAGAAAATAAAAGGTTTAAATGACTACAGAAAAGTTATAGACTTGGAAAGCACACCAAGAAAATCCAATGTATATAATTGATCTCTTTGAAGAAGAAATACAAAATTATATATGTCTGCATACATTTAAGTTTTAAAGACAGGCTCTTGCTATGTTGCCCAGGCTGTCCTCCAACTCCTAAACTCAGGTAATCCTGCCACTTCAGCCTCTAGAGTGCTGAAATTACAGGCATGTAATGCCACCACACGCAGCAAAATTATTTTTTAAAATTCAAGGCCAGACGTGGTGGCTCATGCTTGTAATCCCAGCACTTTGGGAGGCTGAGGCGAGTGAATCACCTGAGCTGAGGAGTTCAAGACCAGCCTGAACAACATGATAAATAAAACCCGGTCTCTACTAAGAAATACAAAAATTAGCTGGACGTGGTGGCAGGCGCCTGTAATTCCAGCTACTCAGGAGGCTGAAGCAGGAGAATTGTTTGAACCCAGGAGGCAGAGATTGCAGTGAGATGAGATTATAAGTCTAGAATCTACAGATAAACAAAATTTGCACCAAAAAGTACGTTAAAGGTACAGTGATTAGAAAACAAGAAATTAAGCTGTCATTATTTGCAGATAGCATAATATGTCAATAAAAGATCCAAAAAATCTGCTCTTAAGCCATTAAAAAATACGTAAATTTGAGAAAGTCACAGTATATGAGATCAACGTACAAAAAATTATATTAAATTGATAAAAAGCTAATTGTAAAAACAATTAGTAAATAAAAAGTTATGAATAGCACTTAGCATTGTATTAAATACCATAAAAATATATGAACTACAAAATATTGCTGTGAGACATCAAATGTATATAAAAAGTAGAGCTATATGCAATCAATGTGCATGGATTAGAAGGATCAATATTATAAAATTGTTGAGCCTCCTAAATTTGACCTATAGATTGCATGCAATTTTAATCAAAATTCTAAAATTCTAATGTTTTTCTTAGAAATTGACAGATTGCTTCTAAAATTTAAGTGTAGATGCAAAGGACCTAAAATAGCCACAAAAATCCAGAAGAAAAGTAGTTGTTCTTCCACTACCAGGTGGCAACACTTATTACAAAGCTACTATAATAAAACTGCATGGTGCTTGCCATGAGAATATACAAATAAATCAATGGAAAAGAATAGATCAGAACAGACTTATGTACACCTGATTTATGATGAAGATGATACTGCAGAACTGTGGAGAAAGGTTGATCTCTTGAATAAATAGTATTAGATCACCTGATTATCATTATTGGGAAAAAATAAAACTTTATCCATCTCATACCATACACAAAAATTAATTTCTAGTGGTTTACAAGACTAAATATATTAAGTAATGCAATAAGGTTTCTGGAAGCTTATATAGAAGATTCTTTTATAGTCTTAGGATACAAAAATGTCTTAAACAGAAAATAAAATTATTGACCATAAAAGAAAAAAACGAATAAATTAAGAACTCCTTTATATCAAAAGGCATCAAAAGACTGAAAAAAAGCCAAAAAAATTAAAAGAGATATGTCTAACACATATAACTGATAAAGTTAATCATATTTTTATTAACTTAGTTCATACTTTATTCAGATTTCCTTAGTTTTTTAAGAGCAATTTTAGGTTTAAAGAAAAATTGAGCAGAAAATACAGAATTCCACATATAATCAACAATACTGTATTATGTGCTTAAAAATTATAAGAGGTTAAATTTCATCTTGTGTTCTTGTCACAAAAAAAGGAAAAAAAGGACACAGGAAAACTTTTGGAGGTGATTGTGATGTCTATTATCTTGATTGTGTTGATGGTTTCACAGATGTACGCATATGTACAAATTCATCAAATTTTATACATTAAATTTGCACAATTTATTGTATTAATTCAACTAATCATACATCAATAAACTGTTTTTTTTAAAGTACAGAAAGTTGCTGTATAGCCTCTCCACCACGACCACCTCCTCACACTTTGCCTTATTAACATTTGTGATAATTGATGAACCAATTTTGATACACTATTATTAACTACATGCCATAGTTTACATTAGGATTCACTCTTTGCATTGTACAGCTCTATGGGTTTTGAAAACTTATGACTCCATCATTATAATATCAAACAGAATAGTTTTACTATCCTAAAGTGCCTGTGCCTCCACCTAGTTATCCCTCTCCGACTCTCCTTGAACCTCTGGTAACCACTGATTTTTTTACTGTCACCACAGTTTTACCTTTTTTATAATATCACATATTTGTATTTATACAGCATGTAGTCTTTTCAGACTGGCTTCTTTCACTTAGTAGTTGCATTTAAGTCTCCTCTATATCTTTTCATGTCTTAATTGCTCATTTCTTTTTATCACTGAGTAATATTCCATTATGTGAATGCATCACAGTTTTCTTATCCATCATCTATTGAAGAACATCTTGGTTGCTTCGAAATTTGGACAATTATGAATATAGCTGTTAGAAATATTAATGTGTAGATTTTTATATGGACCTAAGTTTCCAACTCACTTGGGTAAATATCTAGGAGCATGATTGTTAGATCTTACATATGGTAAAACTATGTATAGTTTTGTAAGAAACTGCCAAATTGTCTTTTAAAGTGGCTGTACCATTTTGCATCCTGACTAGCAATGAATAAAGCTCCCATTACTACACATCCTAACGAACATTTACTGTTGCCAGGATTTGGGATGTTAGCCATTGTAACAGTAGTGTAATGGTATCTTATTGTGGTTTTAATTTGCAATTCCCTAATGACATATGAAGTTGAATGTCTTTTCAAATGTTTATTTGCCATCTGTGTATCTTCTTTAATAAGCTGTCTGTTCAGATCTTTTTACTCACTTTTTAAGTAGACTGTTTTCTTATTATTGAGTTTTAAGAGCTATTTGTATATTTTTTTACACAAGTCTTTTATCAGATGTGTGTTTGCCAATATTTTCTCCCAGTCTTTGGCTTATCTTTTCATTCTTTTTACAGTGTCTTTCACAGAGAAGAAGTTTTTTATTTTAATGAAGCCAACTAGTTAATTTTTTTTCATGAATGATGCTTTTGATGTTATCTAAAAAGTCATCACCAAACTCAAGATCACCTAAATTTTCTCCTATATTATCTTCTAGCAGTTTATATTAGTACTTTTGTATTTTACATCTAGATTCATGTTTTGCATGTGAATGTCCAGTTGTTTCAGGATCATTTGTTGAAAAGAGTATACTTTTTCCATATTAAATTGCTTTTGCTCTTTTGTCTAAAATCAATTGACTATATTTGTGTAAGTTTATTTCTGGTTCTCTATTCTCTTCCAGTGATTTTTCTATTATTTTAGCAATACCACTGTCTTACTGTAGCTTTATAGTAGGAAGAAGCTGGATAGCAGCAGTCCTCCTACTTCATTCTCTTCAAAATTTTATTAGCGATTCTGAGTCCTTTGCCTTTCCACATAAGCAGAGTCAGTTTATCAATGTCCACAAAGTTATTTGCTGAGCTCTTGATTGGGATTGCATTGAATCTATAGATCAAGTTGGGGAAAACTGACATGTTTAACAATATTGAGTCTTCCTATGCATGAACATGGAAAATCTTCCCATTCATTTACAGCTTCTTTGATTTCTTTCCTCAGAGTGTCATCATTTTCCTCATAGAGATCTTGTACACATTAATTAGGTTTATATGTAAGTATTTTTTTGGTGCTAAGGTAAATGGCATTGTGCTCATTGCTGGTATATAAGAAAGCAATAGAATTTTGCATATTAGCCTTGTATCCTTCAACCTTACTATAATTACTTACTAGTTCCAGAGGGTTTTTTAAATCAATTCTTCGACATTTTCTACACAGACAATTTTGTCATCTGTGAACAAAGACAGGTTATTTTTTCCCTCCTAATCCCTATATCTGCTTCCTTTTCTTCTTTTTTTAAATTCAGGGGCATATGTGCAGGTTTGTTACATAGGTGGACTTGTGTCAAGGGGTTTGTTGTACAGATTATTTCATCAGCCAGGTATTGAAGCTACTATCCATTAGTTATTTTTCCTGATGCTCCCACCCTTCAGCCTTTGATAGGCCCCAGTGTGTGTTGTTCCCCTCTATGTGTCCATGTGTTCTCATCACTTAACTCCTACTTATAAGTGAGAATATGTGGTATTTAGTTGCCTGTTCCTGCGTTAATCTGCTAAGAATAATGGCCTCCAGCTCTATTCATGTCCCTGCAAAGGACATGATCTCATTCTTTTTTATGACTGCATCCTTTCTTCCTTTTTGCATTGCTAGGATGTCCAGCACAAATTTGAATAGGAGTGGTCAGAAGAGGCATCCTTGCCTTGTTCCTGATCTTATGGAGAAAACATCCACTTTCTGACAAGTGTAATTTTAGCCATAGGGCTTTTGTAGATGTTGTTTATCAAACTGAGGAAGTTCCCCTCTATTCCTAATTTATTGAGGGTTTTTATCATAAATAGATGTTGGAAATGTTTTTCTGCATCTATTGATATGATCATATGATTTTACTTCTTTAGTCTGTTGATGTGATAAATTACATTAACTTTTAAATGTTGATCTAGCCTTACATACCTGAAATAAATCCCATTTGGTCATAATATATAATTCTTTTTATACACTGTTGGATTCAATTTGCTCATATTTGGTTGAGGATTTTTGCATATACATTCATGAGAGATATTGTCAACAACATTTTTAAATGAATAAAAAACATAAATACATGGACACAGGGAGGGGAGCACTACTCATTGGGGTCTGTTGGGGGGAAATAGGGGAGGGACAGTGGAGGGTGGGGAGTTGGGGAGAGATAGCATGGGGAGAAATGCCAGATATAGGTGATGAGGAGGAAGGCAGCAAATCACGCTGCCATCTGTATACCTATGCAACAATCTTGCATGTTCTTCACATGTACCCCAAAACCTAAAATGCAATAAAAAAAAATTTTTTTAATGCTAAAAAAAAACCAACATAAATAGTCAATTCACCGAAAGGTGTATCTAAATAGCCAATTAAGGTATTTATAAACCACCTCATTACTCATAGGAAAAATGCAAATTAAAACCATGATTAGAGGCCATTACATACCCACAAGAATAACTAAAGTGAAAAGATTGACAGTGCTAAGTGTCAGTTAGGATTTGGAATAATGGGAGCTCTTATTATTTATTAGAGAAGATTAATGCAACCACTTTGAAAAATTGTTGACTTTTATCTTCTGTAGCTGAAAATATATATACACTTTGACCAAGAAATTCCAGTTCTAGGTATATCAACACAAATGAGTATATACGTGCAGAAAAAGACATTTGAAATGATTATAGCAACATTATGTTTAACATATAAAAACTAGATTTTGAGGGAAAGAGGCCAAGACACAATAGAACATTTATGAGACGAAACTAAACTGTTATGTGTGTAAATGCTTGCCCAAAACCTGGCACACAAGAGCTCTAAAACGTGTTAGCTTTTATTATTGTCATTGTTTGTGCCACTCTAGTAGCGGTAGCAGTAGTAGGTCTAATCCTTATAATTTCCCTAAATTATGAATATTACAATTTTCATTTTATGAATTTTTTAAAACTAACACTTGGAAAAGATAAGTTGGGCAAAGGTATATAGCTAGAAAATGGCAGATCCAGTGTTTAGATCCAATATTTAGAACCAGGTTTATTAGAACCAGTGTTCCTAATCTTTCTGGTAAACCACCGTGATTCTCACATCAATGATATTTTATGCATATTCAACTAGCAATAATGACTATAAGTAACTTATATTTATTATTCTAGCCCATAAAAGGGTTACGTTATTTCTTGCATAATTTCGACATGCTTATAACACTAATACAAGTTACTGTGTTACATCTGCTTTTGTTGCCCGTGAAATCCACAGTCAGGCACTATTTTCATCTGGTGGGGCCTTGGTGTGTCACTCCAAATTTATCCTTTCCCTCTCCCAATTACCAACATCCATGTATCAAAATCTTTAATCATATAAAGTTACCTTCATTTCAGATTGAGGACAAAGAGGTCCCTAAACATTTATACATTCAATAAACCTTTACTACACACTATTGTATGCCAGGATTTTGCACAGGTCTGGACATATCATGATGAATTCAAAATGCATAACCCTTGCCTTTCTTACATGTCTGTATCCCTGTAGCTTTAGGCTGTAAAAGCAATTTGTGGAATGTTTCCAGAAGCCCTCTCTGAAATAAGCAGGAAATAGTTTATTGAATAGGAAAGTGTCAAATGTCAGAACCAAATGGTTGGTCATTAACATTAACATGTTAATGATAATGAGGAGCTATGGAAACTGTACTCTATACTGTAGGAAGTTATAAACAGCCTCTGGGGAGGGCACTTGAGACCTTGGTAGTACATGGGGCTGTTCCTAAGAACTCATTGCACATTTACCCAGGTCCTATGTTAATGTCATCCGATCCTCTCTAATCTAATTCTCTTTTCTATTCGTTCCTTTGTCCTTCACTCCTTCTAGTACCCATTAGTCTGATTCTCCTCTCTCCAACCTTTTTAAGTCTGTCTGTCTTTCCCCATCTTCCTGACCCTTCACCCATTCATTCCTCCAACCTTTCAGCACAATTGTCCCCATTTCTCTGCTTCCCATCCCACTGCACCTAACCTCTTCGTCTGGTTCCTCAGTCCCTCTGCCTTTTCCAGTAGAAGACTCCTTTTGTGTTCCTGCTATATTATCTTTGCCCACAAGAGGACATTTTTGCTTCTCTTTCTGTCCATGACTCAATCTGGTTTTAACAGAAAATGAATTCTGGCTCTGGGATTTCTTTTCATTTGAATGTGCTATCTTGAATGATACATCATTCATCTGAATACCTTTTACCAGATTCTTTATTTTAGCTTCACACATGGAGAATTCCAAATCCCAGGGCCTCTTCTGCTTTATAGATTCCAATTGCTTTTTAAAATGCTTCAGATCCTGTGCTATACAGGGAGATATTCTGAAGCAGAACTTGAGCTCCAAGTTGGAGACGCTGTCTTTTTTCGATATGTCCAATAAAAACTGCATAGTGAGGGTCATCTCATCATTTCCTTCCTGCTTTTTTACCTCCAGCAGCCTTTGCACTTCTCTGCGGGACTCTTTCCCCAGCCAGCTTTGGTCCTCTTTCATCAGGAAGGACATGGCATAAAAAAACTCCTGGAAGCTGATGTGGCGGAAGCTATAGAACTTCTTGATGGCAAGTCCCAACTGGTAGTCATTGCTACTCAGGAAAGCGGCGAGCCTGGGGCCATCTAAATTATGTTTCCTGAGCTCAGCTTCTTCAAATAGGAACCTCTGGTGCTGAATCCCTTCAGCAGCCAGGGAGCACAGACTCATCAGGACCCTGTGCCGGGAAGACTCAGAGCAGCCCCCATCGTCATCGGGCAGCAGGAAGGTGGAGACATAGGCCATGAAGATGTCAGTGCTGTTTCTGGGTGTCTCTAAGACAGCTTCACCTTTCTCCATCTGCTGCTTCAGCCAGGAGCAGACCATCCAGCAAATCCCTGGAACCTGACATGCTTTGTAGAGAATGTCATTTTTTTGTACAATTTTGAAGGCACGGTCAGTTTGCTTCTCATCCATGAAATAGGAGCTGAAGTACCTCCCCCTCTCCTCCTCAGAGAAGCCTAGGATATGGACATGGCGTGCTTGTTTCAGCAAGGGTCCCAGATTCCTCAAAGCCAGGGACCGGGTGGTGATGAGAAGGGAGCATGTGGGGAGTGTACGTCTCCTAATTAGAAGGTGCAGGATGCCCTCCTTGGGACTGGAACCCCTCTTCTTCAACTTTTCTTCAAAGGGCCTCTGCAGCTCATCAAAGCCATCCAGGATGAAGAGGAGCCGCTCTGGCTGCCCCAGAATCTCTGTGACGGGGGCTTGATTGTCCCCGCAGCACCAGAAAAGGAGTTCATTCAGTTTGCTCTCCAGCAGCAGGACCACTTCTTTGCAGCTTACATAAAAGACATAATCAAAACGGCCTGGGTACATAGTACCGGCGGCCCAGTCCAACACAATTTTTCTGGAGAGAGTTGTCTTTCCACTGCCAGCAGATCCCTCTAGCACAACTAAGGATGGGGCCAGGGAGGGCTTTTCCCCCGAATCAAATAGAGCCTCCACCATGACAGAGTCCAGCTCCTGCTCCAGGGTGATGGGACAGGCAGGTGACTCTGGGCTCTCTGAGCTGGGCTTGGCCACCAGGAGCACCTGGTTGTATCTGCCGTTGACTCCCACTTCCTGCCACTCCTCTAGGTAGCGCACATGTTCTCGGTATATTTCTCTGTAATCTGAGCCAAACAAATGGGATGTTACATGGTAAAATGGCTACTCCAAACTGACTCTGTTCTTTAGTCTTCTATGCTCTCCAAATTGGATCTCCCTGAGATTACAGTACTGGCTTCATGGGAGGGGCCACTGTATGTGTGCATGACCGTGTGTTTGCAGGCGCAGTAGGCACATGCATATCTGTATGAGTGTGCAAAGGTGGGTTGTGTGTGTGTGTGTATATTTGTGCACGAGTGCTGGTATCCACATGCGCCCACGGAATGTGCTCATGGACATTCACATACTGTAGTGCAGGGAAGGCATGTCAGGGTGCATCTGCAAGTGTGTGTCTGTAAGAATACATGTAAATGCAAAATGCCTGTCTGAGAATGCATGAATGAATGTTCATATGAAATGTCTCCATGTGAAGAGGTGAGGACAGAGAGAAGAGAAAGGAAAGAGAAGCCTGAAAATGAGGAAGTGATAAGAGGCTTGATACAGTTTGGATGTTTGTCCCCTCCAAATTTCAGGTTGAAAATAATCCCCAATGTTGGAGGTGGGGCCCTAGTGGGAGATGTTTTGGTCATGAGGGCAAATCCCTCCTGAATGTCTTGGAGCCCTTCCCGTAGTAATGAGTGAGTTCTTACTCTATTAGCTACACAAGAGCTGGTTAACAGCTGGCACATCCTCCCCTCTTTCTTCCTCCCTCTGTTGCCATGAGACACACCAGCTCTGCCCTCACCTCCTTCCATAACTGAAAGCTTCCTGAAGCCTCACCAGAAGCAGATGTTGACACTATGACTCTTGTACCACCTGCCGAACCATGAGCCAAATAAACCTCTTTTCTTTATAAATTACCCAGTTCTCAGGTATTCCTTTATAGCAACACAAAAGCAACTAAGACAAGCCTGTTCTTGGGAAAGAACAAGTCAATGCTAAAGATAAACCAGCTTCTCAGCAAGAGCCATGACTCTGGGTCCATGAAACGCTCCCATTTGTTTGTAGCAGAGGAGCTTTCAGGCATGAAAGCAGCCTATGGGAGGGAGCACAGGCACTGAAAGATCCCTCCCTCCCCACAGGCACCCATAAGAAGGACCAGGAGACCAGTGGGCTCCACACCTACCCATTCTGTAATGTGGATCCTTGAGAGATCGGGGCACGGAAGACTTGGAAGCGGCCTGAGCTGCCTGTCAGGAAACAGCTAGGGACAGGTCTGACCTACATCCTGATGCCATTTCTTCTGGTTAGTGGAAATCCCTTCACCAATACCCTCTTTTCACCAACACCTGAGCCCCTTTCTTCAGACTCTCCCCTTCTCTGCCACTGCAGCTGGAGGTAGGAGGTGGGGAAGAAAGACTAGTGTTTTTCTTTAATAAATCCCCAGCTTTGGCTCAAGCCCCCTCCTGACAGTTGTTAGAACTCTCAGGTGGAGACCATCAAGGACTCTGGGGCATTGAGGACTAGAGGGCAAGGTGACAGAAGGCATAAGTTACAGGCTACGGGAAATGCCATGGGGCAAGGGGAGTCCCAGTGCCATCCTGCCCTCCCCTTCCCCTTCCACACTCACCATGCAGACAAATGTGCCTGAGCTGGTCCACAAGTTCCAACAGGTTCATGGCCTTCAAGATCTCAAACACAACTTTCACAGCCTCCTTTTCTCCATACTTTGAAATCAATAATTCTGCCAGGTCCACTGCAATCAGGCCCTCCAACTCCCCTCTGGCCAGTGGGGCCTGGCCCTCAGACAGGGTCATATCCCGTAAGTAAAACTTTAACTTCTTGAAATCTTTCTCCTCAAGGTCACTCAAGGCCCAGAGCAATGCCTTCCGGGGGTTTCTGGCCATGGCTATGGTGATCTGGGGGAAGGATCGAGTCCACACCAGCAGACCAGTGACCTGGAGAAGGAGGCAAAAGGAGAGATCCACTGCTGAGAGGCCCGCCCTGCTTTCTGGGTCTTGTCAAGCTGCAGAGTAGAGGCCAGGGAGACGAGATATTCCGACAAAGCTCCAAGAAAGGTGAGCAGATGAGATAGCAGGGGAATTTTCCTAGTTATTCCCCTCTGCCTCTTTGTCAGGTGACATGTGACTGTGTTTGTAAATGGGTAGGGAGGTGTGTGGGTGTGTTAATCTCTCAATCTCTCTCTCTCTCTCTCCCCCAACCTCTGTCTCTGCCTCTCTCTCTCTCACTCCTCCCTTCCTCTTTCCCTCTCACATACATTCTTTGTTAGGCTCTGTATGCCTCCTTAGACAGATGGATGGAGAAATAAAACTTTAAGTCATTTATTTATTTATTTTTTGGAGACAGAGTCTCGCTCTGTTGCCCAGGCTGGGGTATAGTGGCACAATCTCAGCTCACTGCAGAATCCATCTCCCAGGTTCAAACAATTCTACCTCAGCCTCACAAGCAGCTGGAATTTCAGGTGCCTACCACCATGCCCAGCTCATTTTTGTATTTTTAATAGAGATGGGGTTTCACTATGTTGGCCAGGGTAGTCTCAAACTCCTGACCCCAGATGATCCGCCCACTTTGGCCTCCCAAAAAGCTGGGATTACAGACATGAGCTACCATGCCTGGCCAAGTTTTAAGTTTTAAAAGTGGATCTGTTGGCCGGGCACGGTGGCTCACACCTCTAATCCCAGCACTTTGGGAGTCTGAGGCGGGCAGATCACGAGGTCAAGAGATCGAGATCATCCTGGCCAACATGGTGAAACCCCATCTCTACTAAAAATTAAAAAAAAAAAAATTAGCTGAGTGTGGTGGCGCGTGCCTGTAGTTCCAGTTACTCAGGAGGCTGAGGCAGGAGAATCATTTGAACATGGGAGATGGAGGTTGTAGTGAGCCAGATCTTGCCACTGCACTCCAGCTTGGCAACAGAGTGAGATTCCATCTCAAGAGAAAAAAAAAGTGAGCCTGTCCCTGTCTGCATGAACCTATAGAGAGCTGGAGCACATTTGCTGGAACTGCTGTGGTATGGCAAGAAAATCTACACTTTCTACACTCAACCCACTGGCCTCATATGTCAGCCTCCTGGCCTCAGTCACACATGGATTGCAAAGCTAGAAATCTCCTAATTCAGATAAAGAGACAAGTCCAGATAATGATATGAAGAGGAAACGCCAACTGTAAGTGCTGACTTGGTGCCAGGTAATCTGCATATCCTTTTTGATCATCTCAGAAATCATCTTGAGTACCACTCCACATGAGAAATTTGGCAGTTAGAGAAAAATGGTTTTTTAGAGTTTTCCAGAGTAGGCCACTGGGCAAAGAGGCAGGATTTTAACTGTGGTCTATGTCCTGGGAAGAGGAAAGAGACAGAAAAAAACCTCCTCAAAAGATAAAGAAGTAGAAGACAGAGTCAGGAACAAGGAAATTAGGCTAAATGTTACCAGAAACTGGAGACATTTATAAATACTAAAGTAGCCAGGAACGAAGAGCAGGATTTTGAGTTGTGTTTCTAATACAGAACTAAAATGTAGGCCAGGTGGTAATCATTGGAAAATAAAAGCAAAAATGAATAGAAAGCTTTCAGAATCCAGAAATATACCTGTGACCTAAAGCCCATAGGGAATCCATCTCCGTAGTACAATGTCACACTCATCATTGAGAGTGTTCGAAAGAAAATTTGGGAACACAGAGAGTTGTTGTGATTCAAATACCAACATTTTGACTACATACTGACAGAGAAAGAAAGTGTTTGGAACATGTTAGGATACATGGGACTTTGGCTGTGAGTCATAGGCCAGTTTGGAAAAGCAGGCCTGTGAAAACAGGAGCAATTTACAGCAAAGCTTCAGGCTACATAGGAAGACTCATGGCTTCCCTGCAAATTTCTGATGTTGGCAAAGCTATTTAATAATTTAGGAAAGAAAAGACAACACTAGAACCTGCCAAAAAGATGTCCAGCCTAGGCTGCTCACCACAGTTCAGACTTGGGATCCCAGTAAGCAAGGCCTGGGCCTGAAATGAAACAGATTCCCTGTCCTGGTCAGACAGCTCTACAGGTCCAAGTCTGGGCCCTCTTAGCCCATACTCACTAGTTCACTTCTGTTTGGTGGTGGTGGTACATGCCAGCTACTGCTTGATACCTAATAGTTCCTAGTATATTTAGGCCTGGAACGAAAGTGTCCCTCCCCACCTGCCCCAGGCCTCTGTGAAGCAGAACCACCCACACATTGCCTCTGGCTGTAAATGGGATGAACAATTGCTCACCAGTGGGAAACTTGACTTCATTCTTTTAAACATTGAAGTTGAGAAACAAGGGAGAGGCGGAAGGCATGAACTATTCTGTCACCAAGAGATAAAGAGCCCAGGAGACTTCCCATGTCCCTCCCTGAAACCCATACACCTCCACTACCACTTAACCCCAGCCTAGGCTGGGGCAGTTTGACTAGAGAGACAAAAGAATTGAAGCACTGTCACCACCATTTCCTCCACCAGTGCACCATTTCTCTAAGTTATTGAAACCACTGGAGAATAAAAAAGAAAGAAGATAGGAGATCCATGAAATAGGAATTCAAACAAGGAGAAAAACAGGCCAGGCACGGTGGCTCACACCTGTAATCCCAGCGCTTCAAGAGGCCGAGGCAGGTGGATCATTTGATGTCAGCAGTTTGAGACCAGCCTGGTCAACATGGTGAAACCTCGTCTCTACTAAAAATACACAAATTAGCCAGGAGTGGTGGTGCATGCCTGTAATCTCAGCTACTTGGGAAGCTGAGGCAGGAGAATCGCTTGAACCCGGGAGGCAGAGGTTGTAGCGAGCTGTGATTGCACCACTGCATTCCAACCTGGGCAACCAAGCAAGACTTCATCTCAAAAAAAAAAAAAAAGAAAACAAATTCCCATAAGGGAACTGGTCCTCAGGCCTAGAGCTGAGGATCCCCAAAAACCCTGACAGAAAGAGAATAGGTTTCTCCAAAAAGAAAGCCTCCAAGAAAAAAGAGTTGTTCGATTTGCTGATGCTATTGGTCTTCTAAAAGAGTCTACTGGAAGGCTATTAGAAGGTGGAAAAAGCTAGCAGTAACTTCCAAGAAAACCAGATAAACGAAAGTAAAATAAAATGATTAGCAAGAGGAGAAACAAAAAATTAAATAGAAAATATAATATTAAACTACAACACTCGGATGTGAATAATGTTTGCATAGAAATCATAATGTAACCACCAAATATTGCTCTAACTAAAATTTATTTTATAATAATATTGAAAGGAGAATGGTGGAGTGTCCTGGAAGAGGAAGTCAATAGATAATGCCTAAAATGTTGAATAAAAAGGTAGTGATATGCAGTACACATATTATTTCAAAATGCAAGATGTAAGAAGAAATAGTTAAAAGCTAATGTATTAATAGTTGTTTCAGAGAAGAGAGACAGGGCATCAGGAGAGGAATGGACGACTGCTCCAGGGCATAAGCCTTTTAATGCCAATTGACTTTAGAACTATATCATGTATTACTCTGACAAGATAAAAATTAACTTAGCAAAGAAACAGTAAGAGGTAAAGAAATGGAGGTAACATGTATAGACAAATCTCTCTGGAAGCTTGGCAACAAAAGTTATGAGAAAGGTCCTGAGGTCATGTGGGAAACGTGCATCAGGTACTTGCGCCACTTTCCCATGTTAAAGCAAACAGAGAAGGTTCTGTTTTAAAGCAAACAGAACCTTCTCTGTTTGCTTTAACATGGGAAAGGGCGGAAGTACCTGATGCTGACACAAAACCTCCCACAGAGCGCTCAGGTTAGAAATGCAGAAGAAAGGCAAGCACCAGAGCAGGGAATGGAGAATGGGGATTGGAATGGGATTCGAAGCCAAGGCAAAAGATTGGCCTTTGACAGGAGGCTGGAAGGAACAGCATCCATTCATTCCTGAAGAAAGTGAGAGAGGTTGCTTGGCAGAGAAAGGCAGGTGTGTGGGTTTTGTGGTCAGAAGATAAATGTGGCCACATCTAAGTCTCAATATGCTCTGTGAAGTACGTGCAAGAATATCTCTGAGGAGTGAAAGGGCAGGGTGGCTGAGGAGGGGAGACACCTTGAGGAGGCTGCTGCAAGCCTTTCCTCCTGTGTACCGCGCCTCCTCTGCCAAGGCCTCTTGTGCCCAATAATCAGGGAGTATCCCAGAGTGCAGGGGAACAGGCAGTCACGGGACTGGCCTTTCCCAGTGCCTTGACCAAGCTGAGGCTAGAGACAAAAACAAGACTGCCAAGAGCCAGGACCCAGAGACCAAGATAGGAGAATAAAAGAGTGAGACACAGTTCCGTAGTGAGCATGACAGAGAGCAGAAAGGCCACTTACTGCAAAGGCACCAGGTCTGGAGATCACTGTGTAAGAGATTCAGAATCACACCTGAAGGAAGGAGGAATGAGATGCATGGAACCAACTAATTGGAAGGTGGAGGCAAGAGATGAAATGAGTCCTTCCTGCCTGTCGACCCTGGCCTGGCTACAGGCAACACGGACAATTGCAACTGAGGATCTGAGTCCCAAAAAAGAAGGGGTGGAGGCAAAAGAAATAGAAACCAAGGGTGGGAACAGCAAGAGATCAAAAGAATAAAGAGTCAGAGAAGAGATATAGAGAGATATCAGAAAAATGAGCAGACAAAATAGAAAGTCAATGAGAGTGAGAGAGAGATGAAGCCAGCTGGTAGATATAAGTCTCTCTCTCATTCACACACACATATACTTATACACTCACTCTATACACAGTGTTTCTTCACAGCAAACTCTTAAGAAACAAGGGCAATGAGAAAAACATATGAAGCAATTGGAGTTTCTCAATCAAGCTGCAGTGTTCCCCATGTTCATTATACTCTTTCCCTACCCATGGAGGCAGATCCCAAGGCAAAATTGAGCACACCTCTTCATCCTCCTGCTTCCAGGCCTTCTTTTTGACAAAGGCAGGAGCCCCAACCGCAGTCCATCCTGTAAGGGCTCTTTGAGATGATCCCCAGGCTCCCATAAGGGTCACCATCTTCTCCTTGACACTTTGGTCAGTTTTGATGGAGTTAGTACATGGAGTTGGTAAGCTTAAAGGTCCTCTTAAGACAGGGACCCCTGTGGCCATTTTGGAGGTATCTATCTCTGCTGCTGGAGGCTGTCTTTTCTCAAGAGTATTGTCACAAGGCCTTTGTAAATCAGAAAGTATCTGAGACAGATCTCAATCAATTCAGAAAGTGTATTTTGCCAAGGTTAAGGACGTGCCCATGACACAGCCACAGGGGGTCCTGATGACATATGCCTGGGGTGGTCAGGGCAAACATCTTAGGGAGACATAAGACATCAACCAACATATGTAAGAAGTACGTTGGTTCAGTCCAGAAAAGTGGGACAGCTCCAAGCAGGGGAGAGTTGCCAGGTCGCAGGTAGGTAAGACGCAAACGGTTGCATTATTTTAGCTTCTGATCAGCCTTTCACTGAATACACAATTTACAGGAATAGTCATTTATATCTTAGTCTAGCTTAGTGAAATAATGGGGCAAGGAAAGCAATCAGATATGCATTTATACCATGTGAACAGAGGGATGACTTTGAGTTCTGTTTTTTGTCCACAAGGAATTGTCCTGTGGGAAAACTGTGATGGAGGTATGTAGCTTTTGTAGGAATAGACTGGGAGGCAGGTTTGCCCACAGTACCCAGTTTGACTTTTCCCTTTGGCTCAGTGATTTGGAGGAACTGAGATGATTTTTCTTTCACATTCCCTCACTTTTCTTTTTAAAAATCTTTCATGGAAAGCATTTTAAAGGAAAATGGTGTTTGGTCTCAGGTTTTGTCTGATCTCTCATGGCTGGGATGGTTTAGGGTAGGTCCCACAGTATTAGGAACTCATTTTTATCAGGTTGTAAGGTCACACCTCCTATGAAGGGGACATGGGGGAGGAAGGTAGAAAAACAACAACAAACAATGAAGAACAATCCTGGAAAATTGATATAGGCCATATTACTCTGAAGTCCATACATCAGTAGGCAGGTATGAAAGTGGTTTAGGTATGTAAATAGGCTGCCATTATTTTCTTCTGAAGTTTAAGTTGTTCACAGGGCTTTAAGAAAGCATGGCTTAGCCGGGCGCGGTGGCTCACGCCTGTAATCCCAGCACTTTGGGAGGCCAAGGCAGGTGGATCACGAGGTCAAGAGATCGAGACCATCCTGGTCAACATGGTGAAACCCCGTCTCTACTAAAAATACAAAACATTAGCTGGGCATGGTGGCGCGTGCCTGTAATCCCAGCTACTCAGGAGGCTGAGGCAGGAGAATTGCCTGAACCCAGGAGGCGGAGGTTGCGGTGAGCCGAGATCGCGCCATTGCACTCCAGCCTGGGTAAAAAGAGTGAAACTCCGTCTCAAAAAAAAAAAAAAAGAAAGCATGGCTTAATTTTCAGTAATTTCAAATCAGGAAAAAAAGAAGAAAAAATATTGAAAACATTATGTTGGAGACTTGTAGTCAGGAAAAATTTTAGAATTCAGTCAGTTAAAATGTGTGCTCTGAATGAAGAGGCCCCCAAACAGCTTTGTGGGAGCAACATGGCTGTTTATTCACCCGGGTGCAGGTGGGCTGAGGCCGAAAAGGGCGTCAGTGAAGGGCAGTGGGATACGAGTTGGTTTTATAGGTTTGGGGTGGGCAAGTGGAACGTTACAGTTTAGGGTGGTTTTGTAGGGTGTGACATCACAAGGTTGGCCAAGGTCAGTTATGAAGTCCAATAGCCTTGTCGATTGAGGCCGGAATAAGAAACAATTCAGAATGTCTCAAAGTTAAGTAGGCGCTGCAGGGGTTGATCATTTCTTCCCCTTTTCATGGTCTTCCAGTTACTTTAGACTTTCCAGGAACTCATCTGGAGTTTCCATGCAGGTCACCAAGGTTAACATGGCGTCCATGGCACTATCAGTCAGCCTAAAAGACCTGACACAATCCAAACTGTAGAAAATAATAAAAAATGAAGAACATTAGGCAAGACTAGACTCTAACAAGTGTACTATAGTTTATTTTGAAACGTAATTTTTCTCTCTCCAGTCCTGTTTTCACTAAAGACAAGTCATAAGACAAATTCATTTGCAAAATAAAATTTAGTCTTGTTATACTTGGCTGGGTATTTTCATCAGGAATAATTATTTGCCATATAGGCACCTCTTTTTTCTTTAATTGGCATTGCTGGAACTTTATTCCATAAGGAATCTCAGATTCGACTTTAAAGCCTTAAGCCTAGCCTCTGCCTGCAAATATCTGTATTAATTGGGTGAATTCCTCTCCTTGTGTTCCTTGGGGCTCTGGGACTACCAGAAAGTCCCAGAGACATTCTTTAGTAACTTCCTGAGGGGTTCTTCCTGCCCACTGCATAAAGAAAGACCACAGCTCTGTAGTAGAAAAAGAGTTTAATAGACACATGGCCAGCCATGCCATGTGAGAGATGAAGTTTGCACTCAAATCAGCTCATTCAAACCTTGTAAGGTTAGAGGTTTTTCAAAGGCATTTTTGGGGAAGGAGTGGGGGTGGCCAGGTAACAGGTGCTTGCTGCTGATTGGTTGGGGTGGAGATGAAATCACAAGCGGGCTCACAGGACTGAGGGAAATTTGATGAGGGTGCAGCCTGCACTGAGATAAAAGGGCCTACAGTGAGATGAAACCAGGGAGGGATTACCCAAAGAGGCCAAATATAGAAAGAAGAGCATGAAATCTGGTCAGAGAAGCTGCAGGTTAAAGCAAGATTCTGACATGAAAGTCAACATCTATAAATGAGAAATGGAATTAAAGTTGGAAGAAAATAAGTAAGTTTCCCCAGGGATAGAAAGCAGAGATTAGGAAGTGTTGGCTAGGATCCATCAGAGCCACATTGTGATGTAAGGCTGTAAGTGAATGGTTGTGTCCAAGCGCACAGTACACATGAGCAAGAAGCCCCATGGTAATTAAACCTTGGGGGCTGGCCCAACGGGAGTGAGAGATAAAGGAATACTATACAGCACTGTGATTCCAGACACCGTATCACCTTTCCAGCCCAGTATTCTTCTTGTGACAATCATGGCAAAAGCCATCATTCTCTAACCTTTTTTTTTTTTTCCTAATTTTTTTACCTTGTAGGGAAAGGAAAACTTCTCCTCTACCCTCTTAGATTCTTTAACTGAGACCTGCAAATTATATTGACAAAAAACAGATTAACAGGAGAAATCATACAATTTTATTTGATGTTAACAATTTTACATGGCATCAGGGACTTCACAGACAAGAAGTTAAAACCCCAAAGAAGTGGCTAGACCCAACGGCTTATATACCATTTTAACCAAGGGCTGTAAATTTTTGGAGAAGTGACAAGGCAAAGGAAAAGGGTATGGAATTCTAGGGCTAGCAAGTTGTGGGAACGTGACTGGGGAGTATATGGGAAAAACTAATGAAAAATCAGGATTACTTTAGGAAGGTTTGCTTGGCAAACTTATCTCAGCATTGACTTCCCATCTCCAGTGATAGGAATGTTCTCTCCTTCCTGGGAAAGCCTTTCTTATGGGAAATTTATGCCCTGCTTTTAGGTAGAAATGGGAAGATAGCTCTTTCTGAATCTGCTGTTTTTCAGTTGCCTTCAGATCAAAATAATCAACATGCTTAAGTGACATATTTTGGTGTAGCATGTTCAGATGCCTTTCAACCTGAGAGTTCTGTACAGAATTCTCATTCACTTTTGGTGAGAATGTAAAATATTACAACCAGTCTAACAGTTTATTATTATTATTATTATTATTATTTTAGAGACAGAGTGTTGCCGTGTTGCTCAGGGTGGAGTGCAGTGGTGCAATCATAGCTCACTGTAGCTTCCAACTCCTTGGCTCAAGCCATATTCCTGCTTCAGCTTCCCAAGTAGCTGAAACTACAGGTGTGCACCATCACATCCAGCTAATTGGTTAGACAGTTTCTTGTAATATTAAGCACTCTCTACCCAAGACTTAGCCATTCCACTCCTAGGTATTTACCCAAGAAGAAAGAAAACATATGTTTACACAAAGACTTCTATACAAATGTTCCAAAGAGCATTATTCACAATAGTCAAAAATCTGAAACAAGTCAAGTATCCATCAACAACTGAGTGAACAAACAAGTTATAGTACATCCATGCAATAAAATAGTACTCAGCAACTAACCATCAATACACACAATGCATTGATAAATTTTACAGTTGTACTGTATGACAGCAGCAGACACAAAGAATTCAAGTTATTTCTTAGCTGCTAGTTATAAAAAAAAAAGAAGAAGAATTCAAATTGTATTATTCCATTTATATGAAATTCTACAATGGGAAAGCTAGTCTGTAATAATGCAGAGCACTGGTTGCCCATGGCCAGGTGTGAAATGAATGGGGGATTACAAAGGGGCCCATGGCACTTTTAGAGTGAGGAAATATTCCATGTCTTGACTGTGGTGGTGGATACATAGGCCAAGACTTTCTCAAAACTCACTAAACTATAAACTCTTATTTTTTTTTTTGAAATGGAGTCTGGTTGAAAGTGTTGAAAGCAAAAAAATGAGGAAAATATATGTGAGAAAATGCTAATCAAGGGAAATCTAGTATAGCTATAAATATTTTTATTAATTCGTTTTTAAGTAAATAACTATGAGGTAGGTACTAGAAGGTCAAATATGAAAACAATGAGATCCATGCCTGAAAATATGTAGAGTTTAGTAAGGATAACAAACAAAGAAACTGATCATTTATTCCACTTCAGAAGCAGACAAAAGAGGACATTCACATTTTACGCAGAAAATATAGTCCTGAAGCATAACCAGTCTATATTTATTTATTTTTCTTTTTTTTCTTATTATACTTTACGTTCTGTGATATATGTGCAGAACGTACAGGTTTATGACATAGGTATACATGTGCTATGATGGTTTGCTGTACCCATCAACCCGTCATCTACAATAGGTATTTCTCCTAATGCCATTCCTCCCCTAACCCTCCACCCCCTCAACAGACCCCAGTGTGTGATGTTCCCCTCCCTGTGTCCATGTGTTCTCATTGTTCAACTCCCACTTATGAGCGAGAACATTTGGTGTTTGGTTTTCTGTTCTTGTGTTAGTTTGCTGAGAATGATGGTTTTCAGCTTCATCCGTGTCCTTGCAAAGGACATTAACTCATCCTTTTTTATGGCTGCATAGTATTCCATGGTTATATGTGCCACATATATGTGCCACATTTTCTTTATCCAGTCTGTCATTGGTGGGCATTTGGATTGGTTCCAAGTCTTTGCTATTGTGAACAGTGCTGCAATAAACATAC